GGGATCTATAAGAGGGTTCTATAAGGGGCTCCTATAAGGGGCCTATAAGGGGTCCTACTTGGAGGTTCATGGGTAGTTCTAGGTGGAGTTTTAAGTCCCCGAATATAGGTTATAACTATAGTGACCCTACCTATAACCCTACTCATAACTACCCATGAACCTCCCAATAACTCCACTAAACCCTAAACCTCGAAATCCGGGATCAGATGCCTCTTGAAGACCGAAATCTCAAAAATGTGACGGCTCGAAAAGAATAGGGTTTAGGGTCTAGTTAGGAAGTCCTACACACTAAACCGTGAAACTTGAGCCATATACCCTAAACCCCTTATAGAACCTGTACAAACACCCCTAAACCCTCAACCCCAGGCCTCCGTCTCAAAGCACTTGCCGCAGAGCTCGCAGCAAAAGTTTCCGCTGCCGCCGACGTGGCGGCAGCGGACCTCGAAATCGGCTCAGAAGGCTTAGGGTTCGGGGGTTTGGGTTTAGGGTTCCGGGTTTGGGTTTCGAGTTTAAGGTTTAAGGGGATTTGGTGGTTCAGAGAGGTTTAGGGATTGGTTAATCGGTTTTGGGGCGAATAAGCGCTTGGAGATTTGGGGGTTTAGGGTTTGGGGCATAGGAGTTTAAGGTTTTAGTTGGGGTTTAGGGTTTAGGAGTTGAGAGTTTGGGGTTTAGGGTTCAGGGTTTAGGGGCTTAGTCTTCTGGGGCTGGGGTCTAGGAGTTTGGGGCTTGAGGGTGTAGGGACTTTGTGGCTCAGGAGTTCGGGTTTAGCGGCTTGGGGGTTGCGGGGTTCGGGGTCAGCGTTCAGGGGGCTGAAGTTGCGTGCGCACGGTTCAGGATTGGATGCCACACACACAACTGGACGACCTCACCCTGACCACTAAACCCTAAACCCTAAACCGTAAACGCTAAACGCTAAACCCTAAACCCTAAACCCTAAACCGTAAACCCTAAACCCTAAACCGTAAACCCTAAACCCTAAACTTTGGTTTCGGCATGGGCTTTGCTGGCAGCCGGGGCCTGCCTCCCTCCGCGACAAGAGCAAAGAAACCGGATGCCGACGAAACGATACATGGGAGTTTCCGGAAATTAGGGATGCCTGATTTTGGGGTCCTTATAATCAGGATCTTACTATTTGGGGTGCTATATTGGTGTCCCCTATTTTCGGAATCCCCCACATGGCAGGCTGACTGGGGGCGAAAAGGTTTCTGTACTTCGGTGTGCGCAGCTGCGCCTTGGCATGGTATTGTTCCTCCTTGCATCATCCCTTATGCCCTAAACCAGTCAAAACCCAAAAACCAGAAGCCCCTAAAACCGACAGGAAAGCGCTCTAAACCCGAAATCTGCATAGAAACCGTTGCTTGATGCCTGAAACACCAAATACGAAAGTCGCAGAAACCTCATTTTAAACCAAAAAATCGGAACAGCGGAAAGCAAAACCATCCGATCGCCCTCAGACGCTGAAGCTTCGAGATGCTAAACCCTAAGGGTCCATGTACCCAAATAGTACAACATTGGCCTTAATGTAGTCCCTATATGGGTACTTTAGGGCAAATGTTCTACTATTTGGGTACATGGACCCTTAGGGAAAGTTTGATGGGTTTTGCTTATTTCGTGTTGGGCTTCTGGTGTTTCTTGGAGTTCAGGGTTTCTGGGGTGTTGGTGAATTCAGGTTCAGGATGCAGTGTTCGCAAAGCCCCCAGCTGCCTCCGAACCCGGTAGACCCAGAGCCTCCAAAACCTCTTAATTAAGGAATATACCTTAAATCGTACTAGGATTCCCATTATAATTTAAGGTATATTCCTTAATTAAGAGGTTTTGGAGGCTCTGGGGACCTGTCGACTTGAAGACTCAGAGGACTTCGTAAGCAAGGTCGTTAGTACCTCTATTGGGTTGTGAGATACGTAATCATAGCTACCTTAGCTAACCCTACGCACTGGCGCTGATCTTTCAAGCATAACACCCTTGAACCCTTACAGAACCTAAAGCCCCTAAATCCGAAATCCTAAACCCCTAAACCCTGAAACGTAAACCCCGAAACCCTAAACCCTGAACCCCTACAGAGCCCGTTTCGAAGGTCTGACTTGCCTCGTGGTTCAACATCTTTCCAAGACGTCCCCGGCGGCCGCAGCAGGCACAGGCCCTGGGGAGAGAAGAGATTCTCAAAGGGTTTCGGGTCGAGGGTTTAGGGTTTAGGGTTTAGGGGTTTAGGGTTTAGGGGTTTAGGGTTTAGGGTTTAGGGGTTTAGGGTTTAGGGGTTTAGGGTTTAGGGTTAAGGGTTTAGGGTTTAGAATAGGGTTTGGGGT